CATTCTGATCTTCGATCCTTCTTTCTACTGTTGATGTTATAAACACTAACCACTAAACCCTAAACCCTAAACCCTAAACCCCTAAACCCTAAACCCTAAACCCTAAAGCTACTAGGCCTGTTACCCCCACCAACATTGTGGCGAGGCCTCGTAGATTCGCCGCTCTTTCCGCATCTGGGCTTAGGCTCGGCAGTAACAGTATACCAAAACCCCTAAACCCCTAAACCCCTAAACCCTAAACTCGTATAGCCGCAATGATACTAAGGGTTGCTAGAAGCGTAATTCCGCGGGTTGCCATAAGGGATACCTTTCAAAGGATCCTTTAAAGGGTCTCTCTTATAAGCAACCCTTAAAGGAGCCCCTAAATAGGAACCTCTAGGGTTCCTCTACGGGTTCCTTTAAGGGTGATCCTTCAGAAGCTCTAAGGGACTAAGCACCATATCTCCGAGAGCCGGGGACCCCGGACCCCAAATTAAAAGCACCCCTATATTAACTTGCATTCTTTATACCAATTTTGTCATCTATATTATTTATCTGGTAACCCCAACCTTTAACCATCTTATGGACTGCTGCAAAAGTGCTTTTGGAACCGCTGCAGGGTGACGGGTTCCGAGTTGCGGTGGCTATGGAGGTTAAAGGTTCCCTTTGAGTCGGGTCCTGCTATTCTGCCGCGGTTCTATGCCGGGTTGTAGAGATTTCGATGCCGGGGCTTCTAGTTTCCTGTCTCTAAACTGCTAGCGTAGATGATGGACAGTTGTGTAGCTCAGGCCATTTACTCTGATCTTCGGGTTCAACCTAAACCTAAACGCTAAACCATGAACCGTGCCAAGGCTGATGAAGCTGATGCGCTTGACTTTTAACTCCGAACGCGCCTGAGTCCTCACATGGGTTAGACAGCACATAAGTTCCTGTTTCATGAGCGACGAAGTAGATCCGGCCCATGTCTTCCATTCCACCACCAAGACCACCACCTCTGCTATTGCTATTGCTACTGCTACTGCTGCTGCCCCTAATAGAACTCTGGAAATACCATGCTAGCTCTGGTCTGCCACTGCCGCTGCCACTGCTGCTGCTGCTGCTGCTGCTGCTGCTGCTTCTACTTCTGCCGTCGCCCTTAGCCATGTCGGGAATATCTGGGTCATTGCTCAGCACCGCATGCTTGCGACGTCATTTTTGTCAAACACTTTCTCGGCCACTGCAAGCTCGTCTTTAGAAGCCCTGTGCGGGTAAGGGTTTCGCGCTAAGAGTGTAGGGCTGAGGTGAGACTCGCCAGGCTAAGGCAGAGGAGGTAACTTTGAACTCTTTTGGGGGTATTATCCTTAATCCCTAGACCCTAAACCAATCAACTCTAGACACAAGGCCCTAAACCTTTAGTGTAAACCTGCTTGAAGCCAACAGGCCAAGAGGGCACACAGATCCATAGCAGCATAGCATGGGCAAAGACTTGGGATAGGACCTTGGAAGATATGGCCAGCATCTCAGAGAAGCCAGGGGATGTCGTTACTGATTGTTTAGACCTCTCGATTACACACCTTCTGTGTGAGAGCAGGCACGTAGGCTGGGCAGACGAGAACCCGTCTTGAAAGCGACGAGAAATCGAGCCAGTCAGCTAAACACTAAACCCTAAACCCCAAACCACAAAACCCTAAGCCCTAAACCCTAAAACCCTGAACCCTAAACCCTTCTCGATGTTGGGGGGTGCTTGATGTGATTTGACCTTACTTTGCTCAACCTGAGTCTTACTGTTAGGGTTCGGAGTGTGGGGTTCAGGGGTTTAAGGTTTTTGCAGCCGTCACGATGCGTTCGTTAGAAATAGCGGTCCCTTTTAGGGTGTAGGCTAGTGTGGGGAGCTAGACCTTTAGAGGGACCGTGGTAATTAGAATAGGTTTCCTGGACCCTGAACCCTAAACCCTAAACCCTTTCCTGGCATTTCTTGTTTTGTAATTCGATTCAGGAGCCCTCAGGAGCTCTACTTTTGGGGTTCTTATTATGGTTTAGGGGGTTTAGGATTTAGGGTTTAGGGTTTAGGGTTTAGGGTTTAGGGATTCTGATTACTAAGGCTGCTATATTATGTGTCCGGGATCACATGCTCCGTTTTTTAGGCCTCCACAAAGTTTCATCTGGGTAGCTCTCTTAGTTGGGTTTTTAGCGGGATCCTCATCATAAGAGTGTCGTCTTCTTTGCGGGGGTCCAAGAAGGAACCTTTGGAAATACACCTGAAGCAAAGACCCTTCGGGCAAATTTAAAACACCCTCATACCCTAAACCGCGTCCCCAAACCCGAGCAGCCCCAGAAAGCCCTAATGCCCTAAACCTTGTAAAACGAGAAACCCTAAACCCAAAACCCAAAACCCTAAAATACATACACCCTAAACCCTGAAGCCCGAAAGCCCTAAACCCCTAAACCCTAAACCCTACAGCCCTAAACCCCTAAAGCCCTTAAAAAAACCCTGAACCCCACACCCTAAAGCCCTAAACCCCAAAGCCCGAAACGCCTACCGACCTAAAGCCGGGAGTTGGAGCCTGTGCAGGAACCCAGGTTCAGGTGTGTACTGGAGGGGGCCTTACTGATTAGAATAGGGTTTTTCCTTCAAAGGGTTCTATATGGTTTAGGGTTTAGGTTTTAGGGTTTAGGGTTTAGGGTTGAGGGCCTCAATAGTTAGAAAAGGGTCTTTGGGGGTTCCTTTAAAGGGTTCTACAGGGTTACTAGAAGCGTTTAGGGTTCACGGGCGGTTTCGGGGCCCATGACACAATGTTTATCGTATACTATGCCCCCAACCTTATTCTAATTATTAAGGCCCCTATAGTAGATTAGGCGTCAGGCTCTAGGGTTTAGAGCTCTCCCAGAGGGCTGCATAGGGGTTCTTCTAGGGGTTCCACCTTCAGAGGTTTTAGGTTTTAGAGAAGAATTGGTCTGTTTGACAGAAACAGCTTCATTTTCGCAATTCTTGCGTGTTAAAGGTTTGTGGATTTCGGGCCTTCAGCCGCCCTGATGCTTTAGTTCCCAAGATCAGACAAGCCCCAGCCCTGTTCCCTAAACCCTAAACCGGAGTCATGTCGGATCGGCGATAGTGCTGGAGGTTTGTGGTTGCCGAGTGTTAAACTTCAGGCAGGGTGGGGTGCGATTGCAGCGTGGGAGTTTCCGAAATTCAGGCAACCCTGTCTTGTATGGGATTTAAGGTTTAGTGCTACCTGCTCGCTGCGAAGCGAGTGTGTGAGGGGTTTGAATTTTTAGTTGACTGCTTGCGTGGGTAGCCGAAAAAGTCATCTCAACTTGAAAGCACATCCTAAATCACAATAGAGATCCTAAATGCCTCATCCCATCATCCCCAGGAATGGACCTTGTAAACCACCGAACCGCCCGCATAAAGCCTTTAGAAGACCATTGTAACAACCGGTTTAGGCTTCAGGGATTACTTTCGAGGTTCATTCATGTGGTTGAGTAGCTAGTGTTGTAATGAGTAACTCGTGTTGTAAAGAAACTCTTCCCAACTAAGGTACTCACTGAGTCCCATGAACCTACAAGTAGAGTTTAGGGCTCCGGGCCCGCGCACATCTTGGCTCCAGCCTGACAAAGCAGGACGAGCACGGTTTGGACCTCTAAACTTGGTGGGTTTAGGGTTTAGGGCTTTAGAGTTCAGGGTTTAAGGCTTTGAGGTTTGGGGTTTAGGGTTTCGGGCTTAAGGGTTTCGGGCTTAGGGCTTTAGGGTTTGGGGTTTAGGGCTTTAGGGCTTAGGGCTTTAGGGTTTGGGGTTTAGGGCTTTAAGGTTTGGGGTTTAGGGCTTAATTAAGGGGTTGTGGGTTTAGGGCTTGATGGCTTTAGGGTTTAGGGTTTAGGGTTGAAGGGTTCAGGGATTGAAGGTTGTAGAGCTGTCCCGGTTGAGTCACTGCTAACCAGATGCAGAAAAGTTGCAGCGTTTCGAGTTCTGGTTGAGGGGGCTTGGGGGTTCGAGGTTTGCCAGTTTTTCGAGTCATCATTTTAGGGTTTAGGGTTCGGTTTAGAGTTTAGGTTTTAGGATTTAGGGTGTCCCGAGAGGGTGTCCCAATATGTCTTTACGAGCTATACTGCAACATGCCGCAACACCCTATGCTGAAGGGCTTGGATCTGGGGTTTAAGAGTCCTGGGCTTAGGATTTAGGGTTTAGGGCTGTGTACGAGGCCTGCTGTAAAAAAAAAAAGGGTAGACCGCTCGGAGGCACTTCAGAGAGACCTCGTCCAAAAAAAGGGTAGACCCTAAACCGAGATGCTGGGTCCTCAGGAGGGAAGCCCAGAGATTTTGGGGGTTTACGGAGGTTTCTGGCTGGACATTTGCCGTAGGCCCTAAACCCACAAGCCTAAAACCCAAACCCCCAAAGCCTAAACCCCTAAACCCCTAAACCCTGTGAGTGCTGAAACCCCTAAACCCTAAGCCCTAAAGCCTAAACCCCCAAACTCTAACGCCTATACCCTAAACCGTCTTCGTGGGGCTTGAGGTGCGGCGCCTAGGCTGTCTTGAGTCCTTGATGTTCTAGGGCTTGAGGGTTTAGGGTTTAGGCTGATAGTTCGAGTTGTAGTACGCGGGTCGGAAGAGTTGCCCAAAACCCTCATCCAACTGAGAAGACCTCCAAATGTGGAAGACGAGGTCTCGTTTTCAATCGTTTCGAGGCCGTTTGGTGGCAATTCTCAGGCTGGATTCGAGGGTTTTGTTTCAGTCAAGGAACCCTGAACCCTAAATCCTGAGCGACTCTGAGCCCTAAATCCTGAGCGACCATCCTGAGCGCTAATCCTCTCAGGTTCGGGATGTTCGGTACTTCACCCAGCTTCAGCGGCCTGCGCAAGGACCGGAAGCACTTGCCAGTTGGCCATTGGAGCTGAAAATCCCCGCTGAAGATAACGCCGTGCTTTCTCAACCTCATGCTTTTTGATGGGCCCCTCAACCCGGAACTTTTTGGCTCAAGTCGGCATTTGCCAGGCTGTCGCGACTGTCTTCGGGTTGAGGGTTTGGGGTTGCTCACCTTCCTGATGTGGTCTGGCTTCAGTTGGGCACTCGGTGCCTTGGACAATGCCTACGCTTTGACCCATCTCCGGTCACAGCGGCCGCGGTTCTTTGCGGACGGCTCGGGCGACATCAAGGCAGCCGAGGCAGCACAAGTGGAGGCTTTCAAGCGCGAGCCTGCGGAGCTCCCTCAAATGCAGTGGGGCGAGCCCAAAGGAAACTTGCTTATATAGGGGCCTTAGTAATTAGATTTAGATAATAAGGAACCCCCAATAACCTATTCTAATCATTAAGGCCCCTACATAATAAGGCCTTGTCAGTGGTCCTTTTTACTTCTTGTCTCGTACATAATTAGTGTAGGTGTTCTAAGATTTTATAACGGGCGGCCATAAACAAAAGACTTGCAGAAACCTTCATGGGACCCTGAAAGGCAACAGGATCCTCCTTCCTTTCCTAACTGCGAGCCCACATCCTAAATCCTAGGCCCCAGACCCTTAGCCCGGAAGCCGAAACCCTGACCCCTAAACCCTAAACATCCCTAGCTAAACCCTAAACCCTAGACCCTAAACCCTAGACCCTAAACCCTAAACCCTAAACCCTAAACCTTAAACCTTAAACCCTAAACCCTAGCCCTCATCCAGAAAGGAAATGTCTGTGCCGCGACTTTCCGGAGCCCACAGGCTGGGCGACTGCCCGAGGAGGTAGGCGACGCGAGCTTCTTCTTCGTGTCTCCAGAAGAGACTCGATAGGGTTTAGGGTTTAGGGTTTAGGGCCCAATATTCCTTGATTAAGGAATATACCTTAAATTATAGGGACCTTAATATTATGAGAGGTATATTCCTTAACTAAGGGGTATGGGGCTCTCTGGAGACTCGATGCGGGTTCCTTAATTTGAGGGTTTAGGAGTTTTTTGGGTAAACCTCCAGTTCTCCCGGGATACTGGACAAGTAAGGCTCCGTATAGCCTAGGGTCGTCAGAATTTGAGTTGGTTTTTGATCTCCTTAGTAGCGTAATTATATCAAGGAGCCGGAATGCTATTGGTAACTAGTTAAGCTTCTATATTCGGTTCCACAAGGGGTTTAGGTTCGGGGGCAGTTTCAGGAGGATCGCCCATAATTTGTTCCGTAGGGTTCAACAAAAATTTTAACAGCTATAACATACCAAACCCTAAACCCTCAACCCTAAACCCTCAACCCTAAACCCTAAACCCTGAGCCCTTAGCCTTAAACCCGAAGCCCTAAGCCCTAAAGCCTAGACCCCAAACCCTAAGCCCTAAACCCTAAACCCTAGGACCCTAAGCCTTAAACCCGAAGCCCCACGCTGCTCGGCTCAGGAATCATCAATCCGGCCCTGGGATGCATCGACCGAAGCCTCCTCGGCACCTTCGGCCATCGTGGTGCTCCTCCCAGCCACAGGGGAACAAGGACTTTAGCACGGTAAGGTTTAGGGTTTCGGGAAAAAGGGTTTTGGAGATATAAGTTATAATTCAGAAGGGTTGAGGGCTCAGAAATGAGAGGTAGAAGGGTTTAGGTTTCAAGGTTTGGACAGGACGGGGCGGACGAGTCGCCCTTGCGCAAGAGCTGGCAAAGTCCGGGATGTGTTCGTTGGTCCCGACCGCCCCCTTCTACGGCGGCCGCAAGCCAAAGAACCAGGAGATGCACTACGTCCGCTCCGTGGGAATGTATCTGGAGCAAAGCACTGCTATCGTTGAAGAGGCCCTAAACTCCAAAACCGGCTCTTCCCTTTCGAAGCTTTATTTCCCGAGTGAGTTCTGCAGACCTTGCTTGGATCTGTCCGATAAGCCCTAAACTCCTAGACCCCTAAAGCCCTCTACACCTCCAACCCTAAAACCTAAAGCTCTAAAGCCGTAAACCTCAAACCCTAAACCCTAAAACCGAAAAGCAAAAAGTCTAGACCTTATAGATCCCTTTAAAAAGGAACCCTAAACCCCATATAGATTAAACCATAAAGCCCGAAGAGGCCGCTGTCGCTATTCGATGGTGCGTGCGTTGCTGGCCAGGGGTCCCGATTTGCGTCTCCGGCTTTTCGTCGCTGGGCGCTTGTTAGGGTTTAGGGTTTAGGGGTTTATGGTTTAGGGGTTTAGGGTTTATCCAAAGCCGTCTAGTGCAACGCTGCTCGGCAGTGCAGAGCAGGCGGAGCGTCCAGGTCTCGGGTCGACTGAGCGAACTAACCTCATGGTCGCGGCATGGCCCTTGCCAAGTCAGCGACTCTCCTAAAGCTACGAACACTGGTCAAATCGAGAATGTCCTTCCGAACCGCAGCCACCTCAGCGCTGGGAACACCGACTAAAACCCCATCGACAGGAAAGGAAATCCCGATCTCTGTGCAGTCAAGACCAGTGCGAAGCCAAGATTTGGCTCCTTGACTATCAAGCGTGGTTGTCACTGCTTGTTTGACAAAATGGACCCACGAGGCAATAGTTGGAAGGGCTAGACCACCCCCAAACCTAGCCACCCAAAAAGCAACCTCGATCCAAGAAAACACAACCCTGTCAACCTGACACTCATCCCTGGAAACCACAAAGTTCATGATTCCAAGGATCACCTCGCAGGTCAGCCCCCCTTTGAGGGGCTTGATTGCCTGTCGCCAGTTTGGCGCAAAACTGTCACTAAATCCGTCCATCTGTTCTGAAGCAGGCGGTGGGATCTCTTCATCATCTGCTTCTGCCTCTTCCCAGTCCCGCAAGATTTGTCTGTCCTGATTGGTCAAGCTGGCAATTCCGAAATGGATGGCCTGGAGAGCTTGCAGTCTGGAACGTTGATGCTTCCTGTCACGGCACAGCTTGGCATGAAGTTCTTGAAAAGCCTGCGGTCGATTGACATTGGCCAAGCCAGCCGCCGTATCCGCTGCGGCATTCCACTCTATGCACCAGGCCTCATAGGGCCCCACAGCCTCATCTGCTTCTTCATGTGCTCTGACATGATTGATCGTCAAACGGCCGGCCAGCTGTAGCACCAGACTTTCGGCTTCTTCCCACAGGTCACGATGCTCCGCAGTGGGTTTGAGCGGAAGCCCAGATTGTAGCCGCCTCAGGCCTTCCACCACATACATGGCGTCGCTCCACAATCCAACATCAGCTGTGCCTTTCACGGCCCAGTTCAACGCACTTATGGCTGCTGTAAGCTCTGCACGGGGTACTGACTGGTCTGCACCTCGCACCGGTCCACTGGCCAACGGTCCACCGGCTTCCGGACATTGCGCTGCCCAAGCCGCAAGCTCCAAGCCTGGCAGGTCCTGAAAGAGGCCTGAGCCATCAGTGAAAAGCTTAACATGTTGTCCCAGGGGTCGCGCCGCATGATAACAGCGTGTCACATCCGGAATGTGCTCCAACATGACTCGCATTTGGCCAAAGTCAGCATGACGCGGCGGCAACAGATGACAAACCAGCGCCCTTGGGAGACTGGCTGCCTCCTGTATGACCCACTCATAGTCCAGCCTGCATTCTGCAAAACGCGGGCAGGCCAGAACTCGATGCGCCACATCATCGCTGCAGCCACACACTGCACAGGTGGCCGGTCGCGTCAAGTCAAACTTACTCTGCTGTGCTGGCGTGATGGCCGTACCTGAGCGGATGTTTCTTTGCCACTGTAGCTCCAGGCTGTTGAGCCCACGCAGAGATTCAAATGCAAGGCCTGAGTCCAATGCCTCGATATCCTGCATGCTAAGGCGGTGCTGGTGACCCACCAGAACATGTTGTGCCCACGCATCTTTCACCAGGAACCTGAGGCTGCTACGAGTAACTGACAGGAGGTCGTGAACTGCCCCGAAATGGTCCATGAAACAAGGCGGATCATGGAAGGCCCAATGAAGTCTATCGGCCACCTGCAGTAGTTTGGAAAACGGACCACTCCGAAAGCGCCCGTCGAAGTCTGCCACAAAAGAGCGCCAGAGTTCAACCAACGTGTTGTCCTTGATTAACAGGCGCCTGAAGTCTGAGACGGTGCGCCAAACATGGTAGAAGCCAGGGTCTGCCTCCGGCGTTGAAGACACAAACAAAGCTAGTTGCGTACTGGCACCGGCCTTGTTGTAGCCAAGGGCTCGCGCAGCCCTGGCCCGCAACGTGTTGATG